TATATGTGTGCAGGACAGGATGAATGCACAACAGCTATATGTTCTGTCACCGGCATCATTGTGTATATTTGTGTCATCATGTGTTATTTATTAATGGTTATTAATATTTATTATTATTTGTTAATTGCTATTAAAGTAATGTCCATTTACATATTTTATATTTAGATTTGATTAATTATCATTGTATAGGACATCATGTATTTAGTTAGTTGTGTGTGTGGGGGATATGTATATCTGTTTCTGCTGGACAAACAGAGACATGTCATTACATCTAATCTAATATTTAAATAGTTATATATATATATATATATATATATATATATATATATATATATATATATATATACCTGGTCTGAGTGCAGGAGAGAACTTCTCGTGGCTCTGCTCCCTCTGCTGGAAAACCTCTCGAGGGTTAAAAGATCTCTGGGAAATCAGGGACTTGGCCTCCTGTGGAGCGAGAGGTCAAAGGTCAGAGACAGACTGAAAACTAATTGATTAGATCATTAACATTTAAATCACACTCACGTTCGCTTTCTGCACCGACGCCGCAGAGCTGATGCCAGACTTCTTGTTTCCATTTTCCTGCACCATCTAACACACACACACACACACACACACACACACACACACACACACACACACACACACACACACACACACACACACACACACACACACAGAGAGACACACACACACACACACACACACACACACACACACACACACAGAGAGACACACACACACACACAACACACACACACACACACACACACAACACACAGACACCACACAACACACACACACACACCACACCACACACACACACCACACACACACACACACACACACACACACACACACACACACACGTTATAATATACTGCAATAATGATTTGAGAACATGTGTTAATGTTTCATTCTCTCACCTCTCTTCTCTGCTGCTCTTTCTCTCGCTCTTCTTCCTCTCTCTGCTTCTGAGAGATCCTGTACGAGCGTAAACAAAAACATAAACAAATGTAAATATAGTGTGTGTGTCTGTGTGTGTGTGTGTGTGTGTGTGTGTGTGTGTGTCTCTCTGTGTGTGTTGTGTGTGTCTCTGTGTGTCTGTGTGTGTGTCTGTGTGTGTGTGTGTGTGTGTGTGTGTGTGTGTGTGTCTCTCTGTGTGTGTGTGTGTGTGTGTGTGACCCACTTTTTTAATTCAGCTTTAAATGTAATTCTATGTATTCTTATCACATTATTTCATTCACTCCTCTGTGCATTATGATTGGTCAACCGCTTTGATGTCCCGCCCCCTTTAGCCTATGTGTTGGAGCGCTAGCCAATAGGAGCGCTCTGTGGTGGTCACCTGTCCTGCTGGAGCTGCTCCTCTCTCTCTCTGCTCCTCCTCTCTCTCTCCTCTCTCTGTCTCTCGTCCTCTTGCCTCCTCTCTCTCTCCAGCCTCTCTCTCTCCCTCCCTGCTCGCTCGCCCTCCTGCCGTCTGCTCACCTCCTCCTCCCTCTGAACAACAACAACAACAACAACAACATTGTTATTCAAGGCTTTTATTGTCATTTGCACATAGCTAAAGTGTATATATGTCAATGAGGTCACATTATTATTATTGATTTAGATAGGTCTTTAATTCTCAGGGTGAAGGTTGGGGTGTGTGTGTGTGGGTGTGTGTGTGTGTGTGTGTGTGTGTGTGTGTGTGTGTGTGTGTGTGTGTGTGTGTGTGTGTTTGACCTCAGTCTGAGTCCAGAAGTCGTCCTTTTTGGTCTTCAGGATTTCCTCCACAGCGTTGGTCTTACGATACACAGAGCCCTACACACACACACACACACACACACACACACACACACACACACACACACACACACACACACACACACACACACACACACACACACACACACACACACACACACACACACACACACACACACACACACACACACACACACACACACACACACACACTTTTGAATTCATCTCATAATACTTGTACTTATATCACTGATAGTTGGAGCTGATAATATACAGTATGTGTACTTTCAGTGCTGATGTTTTGCATGCATCTGATAGTACTTGTGTACTTGTACCCTCAGTACGTGTATAAGTACACAGAGTGTGTTTCCTCACCACCGGCCCTCGGGGAGCGTCTCTGCTCTCGGTGCTTTTGTGGAAATTAAAACTGGCTCCGGACGCTCGGGACACTTTCTGCAGGACGTCGTCCGGCTCCACGTCGTCCTCTGATCGAGCGTTTATAGTGACGTGAGCCCCCTGAAACACACACACACACACACACACACACACACACACACACACACACACACACACACACACACACACACACACACACACATGTTCACTGGGTTTCATCTCATCGTGTGTATTTCTTGTATTTTGATCGTATTTATAATCACCCTCAGGAAGGTGGCCATGGAGCTCACATGGTTCGCACACACTCCTTTACGAGAGTCCTTCACACCTTCACCTGTCTACACACATGCACACACACATGCACACACACATGCACACACACATGCACACACACAAACACACACACACACACACACACACACACACAAGAACGAACAAACAAACACACACAAACCCAAGGAAAAGGAACTGAGCAAAGAATATCTGTGTGTGTGTGTGTGTGTGTGTGTGTGTGTGTGTGTCTGTGTGTGTGTGTGTGTGTGTGTGTGTGTGTGTGTGTGTGTGTGTCTGTGTGTGTGTGTGTGTGTGTGTGTGTGTGTGTGTGTGTCTGTGTGTGTGTGTGTGTGTGTCTGTGTGTGTGTGTGTGTGTGTGTGTGTGTGTGTGTGTGTGTGTGTGTGTGTGTGTGTGTGTGTGTGTGTGTGTGTGTGTCTCACCCAGTTTATCAGGACATACTTGGGCAGGCCTGAGTTGGGGTCTTGGACTCGACAGAAAGCGTACATCACCTTCCCGCTGTTCAACTCCTCCACCATCTCCTCCAGACCCCCGTCTACACACACACACACACACACACACACACACACACACACACACACACACACACACACACACACACACACACACACACACACAGACACACACACACACACACACACACACACACACACACCACACACACACACACACACACACACACGTATAATTTACCGTGCAGCTGGTGATTGAAAAACATATGTGTGTACTTGTACAATAATCATATCAAATGTATATATATTTACTATATGAAACTGGTAATACTTGTGTACTTGTACTGCAGTTTCTCACCTCCCTTTTCAGCCAGACGGATGTCATTAGAGTTTCCTTCATAAGTAAACAGAGCCCTGATGTGTAGAACACGCAAAGAAACACATTTATACACATTACTGTAGTACTTTGAGGCAGTACAGATACTTATACACACATTACTGCAGTACTTTGAGGCAGTACAGATACTTATACACACATTACTGCAGTACTTTGAGGCAGTACAGATACTTATACACACATTACTGCAGTACTTTGAGGCAGTACAGATACTTATACACACATTACTGTAGTACTTTGAGGCAGTACAGATACTTATACACACATTACTGTAGTACTTTGAGGCAGTACAGATACTTATACACACATTACTGCAGTACTTTGAGGCAGTACAGATACTTATACACACATTACTGTAGTACTTTGAGGCAGTACAGATACTTATACACACATTACTGTAGTACTTTGAGGCAGTACAGATACTTATATACACATTACTGCAGTACTTTGAGGCAGTACAGATACTTATACACACATTACTGCAGTACTTTGAGGCAGTACAGATACTTATACACACATTACTGCAGTACTTTGATACAGTACAGATACTTATATACAAATGACTGCAGTACTTTGATGTATATACACATTACTGTAGTACTTTGATGTATATACACATTACTGTAGTACTTTGAGGCAGTACAGATACTTATACACATTACTGCAGTACTTTGAGGCAGTACAGATACTTATACACATTACTGCAGTACTTTGAGGCAGTACAGATACTTATATACACATTACTGCAGTACTTTGAGGCAGTACAGATACTTATATACAAATGACTGCAGTACTTTGATGTATATACACATTACTGTAGTACTTTGAGGCAGTACAGATACTTATACACACATTAATGCAGTACTTTGATACAGTACAGAGATATATATACACATTACTGCACTTCTATGATACAGTACCGAGATATATATACACATTACTGCAGTACAGTGATATAAATACACATTTGAGAGACCCAGGAAGTAGTACTTTGTGTATTTGTACTCACCAGTTAGTGTCCACCTTCCCGTCCACCACCTGTTTGTAAGCCTCCATCAGAGCCGGCCCGTTTCTGCTCAGATTCACCGCCATGTTGCCTTCACTGACCCAACCACACACACAGTACACACAGTACACACAGTACACACACCTGGGTCAGAGAGTACTGAAGTACTGCGTTGTTGAGACGGAGAGTACTCAGATCCTCTCCTGCTGATCCGGTCGGAGCAGAAACCTGCAGATCCACATTCTGCACAAAGTACTCACTCCGCCCAGAAAGTACTGCATGCTTTAATACCGGGGTGTGTTCCCTTCTGCAGAGACATCACAACTGCAGTACTAATACCACCCTGTAGAGTACTGTGACGTTACATGGAGACTGGGCAGTACTATGTATTTAAAGTACTTCAAGTCAAAGAATAAATCAGCTCAAAGTACTCAAAGTGAAACAGGGATTGTGTTTTAAGGTATAAGTATTGCTTAGACAGTATCATTAAGTTTAAGTACTAGAAGGAGTATTTTGTGTGCATTAAAACGTGTTTAAAGTACTTCAAGTCAAAGTGGTCAAATGTAATTAAAGTACTTTAAGTAAAAGTATTGATTTTGTAGTAAAAGTACTTAAAATATGAACAGTAAAGTATAAGTATTGTTTAGGCAATACAATGAAGGTACAATTGAGTTACAGTACTTAAAGTACAATTATGATTTGTACAGTAAAGTATAAGTATTGTTGCAGCAGTACATGTAGATAGAGTACTTAAGAGTCAAAGTAATAATTGTACAATAAATGAAGTATAAGTACTCAAAGTATAAGTACTCACAGTATAAGTATTGCTTAGGCAGTTTAATGAAGTGAAAGTAAAGCGGAGGGTCTTCAGGAAGTGAACTGCAGCTTTTAGAAATATGATAACAATCTGCTCTGAGCACATGGTCTCACTTTAACACCTCAACATTAGAGGTATACACACACACTTTCAAACACACACACACACACACACACACACACACACTTTCAAGCACACACACACACACACACACACACACACACACACACACTTTCAAACACTCTTATACATACACACTCACACTTTCAAACACACACGCACACACACACACACACACACACTTTCAAACACTCTTATACATACACACTCACACTTTCAAACACACACGCACACACACTTTCAAACACACACACACACTTTCAAACACACACACACACACACTTTCAAACACACTTTCAAATGCACTCTTATACATACACACACACTTTCACATGCACTCTTATACACACACACACACTTTCAAATGCACTCATACACACACACACTTTCACATGCACTCTTATACACACACACTCACAAACATACACACACTTTCACATGCACTCTTATACACACACACACACACTCACTTTCAAACATACACACACTTTCACATGCACTCTTATACACACACACTCACAAACATACACACACTTTCACATGCACTCTTATACACACACACTCACTTTCAAACACACACACACTTTCAAATGCACTCTTATACATACACACACACTTTCACATGCACTCTTATACACACACACACACTTTCAAATGCACTCATACACACACACACTTTCACATGCACTCTTATACACACACACTCACAAACATACACACACTTTCACATGCACTCTTATACACACACACACACTCACACTTTCAAACATACACACACTTTCACATGCACTCTTATACACACACACACCAGTGGCGAGCCGTCAGGGCCCTCTAGGCCCTTTGTGAGGGCCTAAGATATTCCAAAAAATAATATTTAAAAACATTAAAAAAATATATATATTTTTTAAATATATATTTTTTAATATTATTGTTGTTATATTTTTCATTAGTTTTACTGAAAAAAAACTTGATTTAATAAAATAACATTTCCAAAGAAATAAATCCTTCGAATCTGCCTGTTCAGTCTCTGTTGAATGTGAAGGGTTAGGGCCCTGACACACCAGGCAGTCACCAGAGAACTCGCCGACATCCGACACCGACAGATCCATCGATGAGTTCTCCTGCGTCTTGGCCGTGTGTCGCACTGAAATACACCGCTTTACTACAGCCGAGCACGTACGAACTGCGCATGCGTGAGTGGCAATAACTCTCCTTACCAGCAGGCGGTGGTAGTGTGTATTCGTCATTCAAAATAGGCAACAACCGGAAGACAGAGAAGAAGAACAGACTGATATAAACAAACAAATAGCGTGTGTGTTCCATTTTCACTCTCGTCCATCGAAAACATGTTTTAGAATATAAAAATACATGAATGAGCACATAAAGTGCAGACATACTATACAATCACAGTTAATAGACCTGCATCTGATGATCGCAGTGTTCTGGAGGGTGTGTCGTTTATTGAGTCAGCAATGTAATAATGGCCACTTCTTGCTAAATTTACGATGAGATGAAAAACCGGACTTGACCAAACAAATCACGGAGCTCTCAGCAGAGGACAGCCGGGGACGCTCCCGCCGATATCAGAGATGTCCCTGCTATGTGTGGGAGGTAAGAGAGGACATTTAAGGGCTATGTTTGATGTCTTTAAGTATCACCTGCTGGGGTTTAGCTGCTGTCTTGTGCCTTAAATCGTTTGTTTACGTCCCTCACTTCCGTTTCGCTTCTCATTTGCTAGCTGAACAGCTGATCAGAGTGGTTTCTTGGCCCGATAGCTTGTGTCCAACACCCAGGTCAGAGTCTGAGCGCTGCTCCTCCTCCTGAATGACTCAGAGTTTGATGAGCCCTCCCTCTCCTTCCTGCGCTCAGACACAGCCAGCTCCACTCTGTACTTCCTGGTTCCTCCCCTTCAGATCCACACTGAGGAGGAGGGGTGTAACCAACATGTGGGTAAAGCACAAGAGCTGATAGGCCACATTCACTGCACACACACATCCTGTTCAGATCACAGCTCACATAGTTTCAGCTCTCAGGAAGTGAAACTCACACTCGCTGCTACTGAGAGGTGAAATGGCGCAGAAAGGAGTTCAGCTGGAGCGGGAAATGTTATCTTGTTCGATCTGTCTGGATCTACTGAAGGATCCGGTGACTATTCCCTGTGGACACAGCTACTGCATGGACTGTATTAAAGGCTTCTGGGATGGAGAGGATGAGAAGAAGATCCACAGCTGCCCTCAGTGCAGGCAGAGCTTCACACCGAGGCCTGTCCTGCTGAAAAACACCATGTTAGCAGCTTTAGTGGAGGAGCTGAAGAAGACTGGACCCCCACCTGCTCCTGCTGATCTCTGCTATGCTGGAGCTGAAGATGTGGCCTGTGATGTCTGCACTGGGAGGAAACTGAGAGCCTGTAAGTCCTGCCTCGTGTGTCTTGTATCTTACTGTGACAAACACCTCCAGTCTCATTATGACGTAGCTCAATTAAAGAAACACAAGCTGGTGGAGCCCTCCAAGAAGCTCCAGGAGAACATCTGCTCTCGTCACGACGAGGTGATGAAGATGTTCTGCCGCACTGATCAGCAGTGTATCTGTTATATCTGCTCTGTGGACGAACACAAAGGCCACGACACGGTGTCAGCTGCAGCAGAGAGGACTGAGAGGCAGAGAGAGCTGGAGGGGAGTCGACTAAACATCCAGCAGAGAATCCAGGACGGAGAGAAGGAGGTGAAGCTGCTTCAGCAGGAGGTGGAGGCCTTCAATGGCTCTGCTGATAAAGCAGTGGAGGACAGTGAGAAGATGTTCACTGAGCTGATCCGTCTCATGGAGAAGAGAAGCTCTGATGTGAAGCAGCAGGTCAGATCCCAGCAGAAGAGAGAAGTGAGTCGAGTCAAGGATCTTCAGGAGAAGCTGGAGCAGGAGATCTCTGAGCTGAAGAGGAGAGACGCTGAGCTGAAGCTGCTGTCTCACACAGAGGATCACAACCAGTTTCTGCACAGCTACCCCTCACTGTCAGCCCTCAGTGAACCTACACACTCATCCAGCATCAACATCCGTCCTCTGAGCTACTTTGAGGACGTGACAGCGGCCCTGTCAGCAGTCAGAGACAAACTACAGGACGTCCTGAGAGAGGAATGGACAAACGTCTCACCGACTGAAGTGGATGTTTTACTGTCAGCAGCAGAGCCCACCACCAGAGCTGGGTTCTTACAATATTCACAGGAGATCACTCTGGATCCAAACACAGCAAACACAGGGCTGTTATTATCTGAGGGGAACAGAAAAGCAACAAACATGGGACAACAACAGTCTTATTCTAGTCACCCAGACAGATTCACTTTAGGTTATCCTCAGGTCCTGAGTAGAGAGAGTCTGACTGGACGTTGTTACTGGGAGGTGGAGTGGAGAGGGACAGGAGTTAATGTAGCAGTCGCATACAAGAATATCAGCAGAGCAGGGAGGACTGAATGTTTATTTGGACACAATGACAAATCTTGGTCCTTAGTTTGTAAACAAAACAGTTATATATTTCGTTACAACAGTATCAGCACTCCCGTCTCAGGTCCTCCGTCCTCCAGAGTAGGAGTGTACCTGGATCACAGAGCAGGTGTTCTGTCCTTCTACAGCGTCTCTGAAACCATGACTCTCCTCCACAGAGTGCAGACCACATTCACTCAGCCGCTACATGCTGGAGTTTATCTTTATAATCAAGGAGCCACAGCTGAGTTTAGTAAACTGAAATAGCCTGAAGTCATTGGAGGAACTCTTCTACTTCTTAAACTCACCGTGTGTCCATCAGAGCTGATTGTTCATGTCTTCACTGCGCAGAGATCAGCTGTCAATCAAACATGATGGGTGGGGCTTGAACATCTTCTCATGAGTTGTTCTGTAGATGTTGGACTTTCTTCCGGCTCCTTCCTGGGTCTGTGTAGCCATGGAGGCTGTCACTGCTCAGGAGGATCCTTGTTCACCTGAACTGATATGTAAACTTTGCTCTAAATATGTGTTGGATATTTCTTTTGATTCATGTTGTTGTTTCTCTTGTAACGCACGAGTCTTCAGAGAGAAAGCAGCAGAGCTTCTTTTATTCTACACATTTTATTCTGTCATTCACTTTCTAAATCAATAGAGACATTTATAATCACATGTATTACTTTGACAGATTAAATGTTATTGTTGCCCAAATTAACTACACATGAGTTCCCAGATGGTTATAACACTTATTTCATCATCACATGTTTATTTAAAATGATATTACTTCCTGTCATGATCATAATCAATAAGTACATCATTTATTATTCTGCTGTAAATACCTTAGAGTCTTTGCTTGGGAAATAAAATGTTATTGTTTTGCTGACTAATTGTTGTTGTTGTTGTTGTTATCCAAATAGAAAGTGGGTACTCTGAGGTTTTATAGAACATAACTTATCAGGGTAATAATCAATAAGGATATCATGTATGATTCTGTTTGAAATAGCTGAGATGAAACACATGTATGGTGTGGATAAAGTGAGACTGATCATGAAGTCATTGATCAGACTTTACTGATGGGA